TGTGCGCGGTGCGTGCTGCCGTGCAGTGCGCGCTGCTGCCTGGCGGTGCGTGTCGCACGCCATGGTGCCGCTGTCGTGTGGTGTCGGGCGTGTGCATGCAGCGCCCTGTCGGGCAGTATGTGTCGCGTGCTGCTAGCCTGCTGTGCGGCGCTGCCAGGCGGTGCGTGCCGCTAGGCGGCCTGCTGTGTGTGCTGCTGCCTATGACTGTGCCGCTGTGCGTTGCCGGGTGGTGTGTCCATAACAGCAAAGGACATGGAAATGAAATATAGTTAGGTGAAGAGATTTGCTAACTCTTTTGCTGATGGGTTAGTTAGTTAAGGAGTGGCTCGGGAATCTTTATTTTAGGCTATGTTATAATTCTATTTTATTACTTTTTTGGGGGGCTCTTGCCCAACCCGGGGAGTTAAGAAAGTTTATCTCCCCTTGTAATTATATTTGTTTCATTTTAATGAAAAGCTGTTGTTATTGAAAAAGAAAAAGAAATCCAAAGGGCCTTTTTGAGCCACAAACCAATTTCATAGATATAAGACACATTAGTCATTCACCCTTCTTTGCTAAACATTCTGACTGGCAGACTAACTTTTTTTAATAAAAAATACCATTGCACAAAGTACTTTCCCCCATCTATCTCAGATCTCTCAATCTAGAGTTATTTGCAGCTGTGATCTGGTTAGGGTTCTTCTTCCAACTATTGATTCATTTGATTTTCTGCCATTTTAGGGCATTAATCAGTGAAACATAGCACAAAGTTTGATGTGTATTATACAAAAATTCAATGGAGGGCTATATTGAATTACAAGTGACTAACAAGGTTAATATTGTTTATTGTGGAGAGGTATGATAGAGAAAGGAGGTAGATTTCTCAGTTAAGATTCATATATTAGAATTTAGAAGTAAAGTCACAATGGGCATTTTGGTCCATTTGGCTTTAAGTCAAACTAAATAGGACCACTTTTAGGATAACTTGTATGTCATGTGTGCAAACATACTTGGAATAAATGGAGGTTTTTGTCTTCGCCATGCCAATCAAAGAGGGGAAGTTTTGGAAGCAGAGGGAATGAGGGATTATGAGATGTGGAGGGATTTACAAGATTTGATTTGAAATCATATCAAAAAATATCAGAATGCATCAATACAGAAGGTGACTTTCATGCTTTGCTGTGTCCATAGTGTAACAATATTGATTTGTATAGGCCATCCAATACACATCGGTACTTAAAACCTTGCATACATCATTTAGGCTAGCTATGTGAAAATAAGAGTGAAAATTGAGGGAAGGTCCTCAAAAAAATCTCTGAAATTCCTTCTGAATTTCCCCCACAACTTTATGTTTTTTCTCTTGTTTTCTGTCAAACCAACCACAACCTTTTTTTCGCTAAAAAAAACCAAAGCAGTTGATAATAGCTGAAGTGAACTTGTTTCTTTGCCTTTTAATGAATACAAGTTTTTAAGGGGGTGGGTAGTGGGCTTAATGACTGAAGGTGAAACTGGATAGATTACTAGACACTTAAATATTTTATTTAATTGTTCACTAAAAAACAAAGCAAATTATTCAATTCAGCAACTTCAGACGTTACCAAAAGCTCCTTAGGCTATGTTTGGTTTAAAGTAGGTTATGTTTGATTTAAGGCTATGTTTGGTTTGAAGGAAAAAGTAGGGAAAGGAAGGGAAAGGTAAGGAAACCTACTTTTTCCTTCAAACCAAACACAGCAAAAAGGAAAGGTAGCAAAACAGACACAAGATTTGTAAAGGTTTCCCTACCTTTCCCTACTTTTTCCTTCAAACCAAACATAACCTAGTTCATTTTGATGCCCCTTTCAGGACAGGTGAGCTATGGCGCTTATATGACACTATTATAGCATTTCTTGCAATGGTTTAATAAAAGAGACACAATAGTTACCAAGCCAAAAAACAAATTGATTCCCAATCTCCATAAATCAGAAGCTGAAAAAGGAAATATCTCTCATTAAACAACCTTGTATTTATATTTCCTACCCCGAGGTCCCATCCATCCATTCCCAATCTCAATGACAAGAAGACTTAAAGAAGATATCTCATAAAACAGAAGCTCAAACTTTTCACAGTATTGTCAACAAAATGAGAAACATGAATAAAACCAAATGAACCTTCTTTCTGAGACATCCAGTTCTCTGCTCGCTACCTCCAATATAAGGTTGGATCATGATCCCAAACCTGCAACTTCCAATTGATGGGTCCGTCTTTGTTATTATTGAAAGATGATCAGGGAACTGACAGGCACTATCAAGCTGATTATTTATCTGGTAATAATTGTTAAATGCATACGAAATATTCCCACGTGCATCCAGATTTCCACATGAAGTACCATAACCAAGGCTTGTGCAGTCAGCTAGTGAGCATGCATAACTCACACTCGGCGCCACTTGTGAGTCATCAAGGTTTGCCTTTGGCGACATAACACACCACTTCTTTTCCAGATAGTGGACATTCCTAGCAGGGACCAAAGTTCCTGAATTCGTTGTCCCAAGATTAAGCATGTACTTGGGCACCCCATCATAGTAAAATATTCCCCAGTGTCGTTCAAAATAACCAGGGGCTATGCTCTTGGCATCCTCATCAATCAAGCTGAACAGATAGGCGTCAATAAGCCCTGGCCTCATTGGAGTCCCTTTCCCAGTAGAAATGTGGTTCATGAACCCCTGGTTGAACCTCTGGGCATAGTCCATATTTGCATTCTTATCTCCATCAGTAGGCCAGCCTATTTCCCCAACAATGATGGGTAAGTTACCATATCCATTCTTCTGAAGGGCCCACACAAGGGTGTCAAGGTTTGCATCAAACATGTTATAGTAGGCATTACCGTTGTCAGTGACACGGGCTGTTGTACTGTCAAAGAAGGCATAGTCAACAGGGAAGTTGGGGTCTGTATAGAGGCCCAAGAAGGGGTAGATGTTGACCGTGAAAGACCCTCCATTATCGCTCAAGAACTTGACAATGGTGATCATCAGGTCGTGGATATCACTCCGAAAGTCCCCACCTGAGGGGGCATCTGTTGTGCTCTGATATACATCAGCATTGAGAGGGATGGTAACCTTCACCTGACTGCTCAGACCAGATTTTATGAGGGCTGATTGAATGTTTTGAAGTGCAGGAAAGGTGGTCGTCAGGAAACTGCCATTGTATGTTTCTAAAAATGGTTCATTCCCAACTGCAACATACCTTTGAAAGGGAGCAGAAAGATGAGGTAAGAAATGGACAAAAGCAATATAGAAGATACCATATTAACAAGAACAAGAATATGGTACTAAATCATCAGAATGAGGATTATATGTAAAAGGGGAATGCTACTTTTCCATCAAAAATCCATCTTTATTGCATATATTTGAGTTAAAACTAGAAATAACAATCATTGAACGGGCAACCAAGATCTAATAAAGACCATTTATTTCATGCTTGATCTGGCCCTGACTGATTGTATGCTGAAAGTGGGATTGGTAAAACCACCAGGATGACAAAGTTTTTAACAAGATTATAAGAACTCGAGATGCAGTTGTTCAGAACACTCATCAAGCATAGAATAACTATGAAGCAGTCTAACATCATTCTAGAAAAGGAAATCATCTAAAACCTCCTGAATTTATTAACAATGTCTAAAACTTCCCCCAACTTTTAGAAACCTCCAAGAAACTCCTTGTCATCAGGTAACAAATAATATACTTCCCTTGAGGCTCAATTTGGAAGGAGTACAAATACAAATATGTAGTGTGCAAAACCTTGTATTTTGTATGTATTTGTACTGTACATATTTGTATTTGTACTCTTTCCAGACTGAGCCTAAGTTATCTTCCAGTTTCATAATATGTAATTTTTAAATGACAAAAATGACCCTTTACCCACTTGATGTCATCACATCTATCTTTAATGTGACAATATCATATAATTCCATTGTTTTTTATAAGTAATATCATATATTTTTTATAGGTAATATCATATAATTCCATTAAGTCACATTTCCTTCAGGTTCCAATACAAAGTAACTCTTAAATGACAGAAATGACCCTAACCCACTTGATGTCATTTCATCTATTTTTAATGTCACATAAATACCCTTAGCACATGTAGACATCTCTCTCACCCCCTCCAAAAAATAAGAGTTCTAGAACTAATATCATAGGCCTTCTATCTGTATTGGTCATTAATAAATACTAGTTTACTTTGTTGATCAGTTTATTCAAAGCCACACTCACAAGAATACCGAGAAATCAAGCACATTATTGATTTGGCTGTACATTGGTATGTTAAAATCCAAATACTAAAATGGATTGCCTAATAGTTGCAAAGATCTAAAAGTTGATCATGACCATTCATTTAATTCACCAACACTTGCATGTTGATTCGCCCTTATGCTCACATATGTAGGTCCAATTTCTAGGGGCACTTTAGGTATATTAAATTATACATGTTTGAAGAATACACTATATACTGAGTAGAACAGGAATTTTGCATTCTTTTATTTGCCATTAAATGGAATATCTCTGACAGGGAAAGATCTCTGGAGGTATCTAAAAGTCAGAAAATTTTAAACTATTTTTTTGATAAGTTTAAACATTATTAGTAAAGACAAGGGAGATTTTAGACAATTACATATCCCAGCTAGGTCATTCTCCCAAGCAACCCTAAACACCTGCAAGACACCTCTCAAAAAGCCACTTTAATTATATTTCCTTGTAAAACCCACTCAAATATACTGATTTGTCTTTCCCTTGTCATAAGAAGAACCCTCCACCTTAGGTTCTGATATACTTCCAGTTAGGTAACTTGTTTTTCCCCTTTCACCAATAAATAACATTACACTCTTATCCCATTCAAGATAGTTTAAGCTATCTAACAATGTAATAGGAATAGGAGAAAACAGGTTATCTATATCAGTATTGCCTGTCAACTAAGTCCTAGTAACAGATGAAGAGGCTGAATCTTCACTAGCCACCCAACTCCTTCACAAGAACAAACAGTTCCAATACACTCCCAACAATCAAAGCTAGTGTCTAAACAGTCATACCAACAGTTGTCGCAATTTCTAAGGCCAAAATAACACGCACCAAACATAGGTCAACTATGGCACAAAAAGTTATAGGTCTGTTGCATTGGCTGAGACGCCTCCTCTTCACTTGCAATACTTTTACACCTGAACCAACAAAGGTCTTTCCAATATCCAAGCCTTCCTGTAACTTCAACAAAAGTCACAGTGTTTTAAAAGTGCAAGGCGTGCACATTTTTTAAGCAAGGCGCAAAAATACAAAAAAAAATGCTTAAAAAACAAAAAAAAAAGCCAAAATTTTCAAAAAATGCAAAATATCAAAAAATATTAAACATAATATTAATAAAAATATAAACTTAAATTTTAAAATAAATGTCTTAAAAAACCTATTATCTAAAATTAAAATACATAAACATAACATGTAAAGCGTATTCAAAGGAAATTTTAAAAAATAAAATCAAACATATGAAATATTTTCAAGCATGTAAAACCCACAATCTCTTTTTTTTTCCTCAATTGCATTACTTCAAGTAGCTAGTGTGATGTAAAACATATTACATTCCTGATTCTAGCCCAAACAAGTTTATGTTAGGGTCTTAAATTCTTAGTTCTCACACAAAAATAATGATTTTATAATTTTAATTGTTTTTTACGAAGATATTTTATTAGGATGAATGAATGAACAACATTAACAAATAGGGGGTTCTCGGAGCCCTTGGCCCAGCCGCTAGGTTCAAAAAATGCAAACAAGTGTGAAATTTTCAAAAGGTGCATGCTTGGGCTGAGGCGCAAGGTGCATTAGGCGCACCAAGCGTGTGCCTTTTGAAAGGGCTGTGCCTAGGACCTAGGCGAGGCACATACCCTAAAATGCGCCTCACCTGTGCACCTACGCGTGCCTGAGGCTTGCCTTTTAAATGACTGAGTCATACAACTTCAGCAAAGATCACCCAGACTTTTCCCAGCCTGCTACACATCAAGCCCAAGACACACAAGTCCTCAAACACTTGAGGATCACAAGGATTCTGCAGGTTCACACTCACGATTGAGGATACCTAGAAACACTACAAAGAAAACCACCTCACAAGCCCTCAACTATGCCCACATCAACAGAAATCCCTTGGTATCAATTCCCAAGGAGAAAAATAAGAAAAAGAGAAGAATCCTACCTTTGATCAGCACAAGAAAAAAAATCCTTTTTTCTGTATCCTATCGATCCAAGGAAGAAAAAGAGAGAGAAGCTGCAAGAAGGTTCGATCCAATCAAGGAACCTGCTCCAGTACCATGTTTTCTAAGGCAGATCCTGAGGAAAAGAGAAAGAGGAAGAAAGATAGAAAACAGAATATTGGAGGCAAAAGAATTGAGTGGGCAGCAGCTCTATTACTTGTTATATTAGGGTGAACATCACCACAAGTGAAAGAGTAAACAACCCCTAAGGAGTGTTTATATTTTATTTATAGATTTCTTTAGGAGGCAAGGTAGTTTTATCTTTTTACTATGTTTATTAAGGAAACTCTTGTCCTCATTTTACCATAAGCAGGGACATGATTTTTTTTTCTTTTTGATACCTAAGTGGGGACATACTTGTAACCTCACTTATTTAACAATCTACTATGAGATATTGTACTTTCCTTGGTGGGAACCTGGTTACATGGAAAAGTAAGAAGAAAAATGTTGTAGGTAAATCTAGTGCTGAGGCTGAGTATTGTGCTATGAGTCATATTAAAGGTGAACTCATGTGGTTAAAGAGCCCTCTTCAACAGTTTCCTCTTCCTATCTCTTTGTCCATACATCTTCAGCTGTACATACTGCTTCTAACCTTGTGTTCCATGAAAGGACGAAACATATTAATGTAGAGTGTCATTTTATCTGAGATAAGGTGCAAATTAACGAGGTTAACACTCCATTCATCAAGTCTGAATATCATTCTGCAGATTATTGTAACCTCATATATATATATATATATATATACTCATTCGCCAGACTGGAGAGACTAATTAATCTAATTGTCTCTACCAAACTGGGGGCCTAGGAGATTTCTTCTTTCCTTGCTTTCAGTGCTTCTTTCTCTTCTTCTCTGTTCTATTCTGCATACAGGTATATATAGTAACTCTAGTAAGATTCAGTAGAGAGAAGAAAGGAGAACAAAAGAGAGAAAAGAAGAATGAATCCAAAAGTCAAAGTGGCAGATGCTCTGCTTTGATTTATATACTAGAGAATGCCCACCTGTACTACTAAGTATGGGGCTAGTATTCTGATATTTTTTTTATTCATCTATTCTGATAAATTTTGTTTGACACCCATTTTTTATGTCGTAAATTTAGATTATTATTTTATTTGATATTTTTTTGTTATATATAAATTTGTTATTTAATTTAAGAGATTAAATCAAGTTTTATTTCTAAATAATAACCCACTTTATGGATACTACGTTATCTGAGATGAGATTTTGTTTTTTTTTTTCGTTTCTTTTTAGTGGAGGTAACTACCGCTAACCTTTTTGAGAGTGGAGGTACCTAAAGAAGGAAGCTTTGGTTTGAAAGTGGGAGTAATTTATCAAAAAAAAAAAGTGGGAGTAACTACTTTTGAGATGTTTTTTCTTGAGACAATTAGATGCCACTTGTCCAAGGGAGAAGCTCTCTAGTCTGAGGGCTTTCCTTTCATAAATTAGATTAAGGTATCAATATGAAGTAAAATGACATTAATGCCCTTAGTTACAAACAGAATACTAAAGAGAGAAAAAACACTTTACCCAACAACACTTCCCCTCAAGGTTATTATTCTCCCCCCAAGGAGGGGCAAGGAAGTAGGACTGAGACTTTAGAAAAGACACATCGATTTCTTTGATAGTAAAAGAAAATTTTATTAAAAGAAAAAAGCAGCTAATAACAACCACAAGAAGTGATAAGGTAGCACCTCCAACTTCCCCAAAAACTAAACAAAGAAAATAACAAAAGATACATCTATGAAACTCACGCCACCTCCTAAATAACTATCCTTAAAACTTTATAATGAACAAATTTGAGCAAGAAACTCACCAGCATCAGACCCCCTCGACCCTACACCTTAGCACCCCAATTAAACATCCCCATCACAAACCACTTCATGCCCTTGTTCTGTCTCCATCACACCAACATCTTGATAACCTCCATAGTTTTATTTGGATTTGTACTTCCTTGCTCTA